TGAAAGTTAGTGTGGAAACACCAGCAGTGTACTGCCACACTATTATTTATGATAGTTACATTGTGGGAATACCAGAAGTGTACTGCTACACTATTCTATGTGAAAGTTAGTGTGGAAACACCAGCAGTGTACTGCCACACTATTATTTATGATAGTTACATTGTGGGAATACCAGAAGTGTACTGCTACACTATTCTATGTGAAAGTTAGTGTGGAAACACCAGCAGTGTACTGCCACACTATTATTTATGATAGTTACATTGTGGGAATACCAGAAGTGTACTGCTACACTATTCTATGTGAAAGTTAGTGTGGAAACACCAGCAGTGTACTGCCACACTATTATTTATGATAGTTACATTGTGGGAATACCAGAAGTGTACTGCTACACTATTCTATGTGATGGTGTGGGAACACCAGAAGTGTACTGCTACACTATTCTATGTGATAGTTTGGGAACACCAGAAGTGTACTGCTACACTATTCTATGTGATAGTGTGGGAACACCAGAAGTGTACTGCTACACTATTCTATGTGATAGTGTGGGAACACCAGGAGTGTACTGGTACACTATTCTATATGATAGTGTGGAAACACCAGAAGTGTAGTGCTACACTATTCTATGTGATAGTGTGGGAACACCAGCAGTGTGCTCCTGCACTGTTTTGTAGGGTGGTTACACTGTTGGAACACTAGCAGTGTGCTGCTACACTATTCTGTTTGATAGTTACATTGTGTCAGGGAAGTGGAAAAGATGTGGAGTCAGAGACGGAGAGCAGACTGGAAGGATGGAAATAAATGGAGAGAGAGAGAAGAAAGGAATGAGGGAGGTAGGCAGGGACAAAAGAAATTTGATAGAACTTGATGAATAAGAGAGAGAGAAACAAAGGAGAGGGAAAGAAACAAATGAAAATAAGAGATAAGAAGAATAGGTGGGAGAGAGACATAAAGAAGAAGAGGGAGAAAGGGAACAGGAGGAAGAAATATGCCAATGATAAAGAAGGAATACTAAGGAGTCAAAGAGAATGAAAGACAGAATATAAATAATAAATGATCATTAGATACCGAGGCAGAAAGAGAGAGAGAGTGTGTGGTACTTTGACAATATTGGCCTTGTTATGTACAAGGCCAATATTGTCAAAGTACCACACTTGGATCCACTTCGAGGACAGCGTGAAACAAACTTTTATGCCACAAGACGGGCAGAAAGCAGCAACTTCACTCTGGTTGTACCCTTCTTCAGAACATCACTCCATCTGAGATCATATATACCCAGGATGACTCGAGTATGGAACACATTCGTACAGCATAATGATGTCAACGAGATAAAGTCAGTTGATCAAATGAAAATGCTGGCCCACAGATGGCTCCAACTTCATCCTGTTCCCTACTTGTATGTCTCATAACAATAAAAATGCTTTTAAATGAGCTGATGTAGGTAACAGCTCTTAGCTTGCCAATAAAGTTAGGAATCCTTAACCTGTAAATAGCTTGTCAATAAAGCTAGGGATCCTTAACCTTGTCAAACCCTGTGTAAAAAGAGAGAGAGAGAGAGAGAGAGAGAGAGAGAGAGAGAGAGAGGAGAGAGAGAGAGAGAGAGGAGAGAGAGAGAGGAGAAGAGAGAGAGAGAGAGAGAGAGAGATAGAAGAAGAGAGAGAAGAGAGAGAGAGAGAGAGATAGACATACAAATAGAATATTAAAAGTTACAATTAGACAACAGCAGCCTTGCGGAGACAGAGAGAGAGAGAGAGATTCAGTACAATCCATCAGGCCAAAGCTAGTAATATTTAAACATTGACGAATTCAAAACAGCATCAGACACGATGGTGAGGCCATGACATGTCACCAAACATATTTATTAATTCATCAGCATATCAGCTGAGAGGATACATAGTTAATGCTGACAATTAGTATCAAAACCATTCAACTGTCTATGAAAAGATTAATACGACATCAACACATTGAAGGTAGATTCCTTAGTAGGACCATTACACAGTTAAGTGTGTATTCCTAATCAATAAGTTTTGAAATGATCTATCAGTGTAACTCACAGGGAATACAAGTCTGGTTTATATTTGCTCACATTAGGCTAATCAAACTATCAGTCCATTTCTGATGAGAGGTCAGAATACCACCGCATCAACGATCATCAAACCATTCTAGGGTAGTATGCCTTCCTTAGAGGGCTCTGGTCACCCTGCTTACAGCTGGATGACGTGAATCATATAATCGTGAGTGAACACTGTGCATACGGTGAACACGGTGCACATGGTGTGTACAACGACAACTCTTTCCTTTCATTCCTTTTGCCTAATCCATCTCTGGCAGTCCTTTCATGCACCTTGTCCCCCAGTACCTATTCACATGCATTCCTTCTCCTGTACCTAAAGCTATGCACTACTTTCCCCGTTTTGTTCCTGCGCCTCTTACCATACACCACTTCCCTTTCACTCTTTTATACTTCATCTCACCCTCTCTCATCGCTGTCTTCACAAACACCCCTCTTTCCTCCCCATCTCTCCCCACCCTCCCTTACTTCCTGTACTGTTCATCTCATCTTCCCCTAAACGGCTACAATCGTCTCATCCTCCAGTCTCAGATCAAGGGAGAACAGTTGCTAAGACGATCCACATGAGACATATGAGTCACTATGGTGAGTCGTTTCACCCACCCTGATGAGTCAATGACTCTCCCAGGGTTAACATGACCCTATTTACCAACATGTTAATTTCACATGTGGCTCACCCACACGCTGAAAGGGTAACTTTCTCTATCTCTGTAATTCACTGTAACACTCACAGGTTTCACCAGAGAAAAGAAAGTGTATCTCTACTTGCTTTATTCAGATACACTCCTTCATCAGCACCAGAAATTTGGCAAGGCTATGGGACATCCTCTGTAACCTGCATTGAGCAATATATATATATATATATATATATATATATATATATATATATATATATATATATATATAATATATATATATATATATATATATATATAATTATATATATTTAAAGGGGTAGCAATGGTAATCTCTTATCTTTACCCCAACAGTGGCACCCAGCAGTGTCACCATCGTGGGCTGGGCAGACGGTGCCGTGGTGGAGGTGATGGCTGGCACATCAATCACTCTGGAGTGCCTGGTTGCTGACGCCAGACCCCCGCCCAGGGCCGCCTGGTTCAGGGGAGGCATCAAAGTCGATCCAGGTGAGTGTTTTAGACCAAACGTTCCTTCTCTAAATATAGAGTGTCGGCAGAAGTGTTGATTCATCACCTGAAGAAGGCTCGAATACGTGAGTTTATATATATATATATATATATATATATATATAATATATATATATATATATATATATATATATATATATATATATATATATATATAGTATACATAAGTTCTTTCGTCTTTATTTCTTCTTATTCCTCCTCTTCGTCCCGTTATATTTTCTCTTGAGTCTCTCTTCCCATTTCTCTTTCCATGTCATTTATTGAGATATTCATATTATGTCACCGTCCCTGCCCCTATTCCCTGTGCAGGTCACGGAAGCTTTGGTGAATCAATCTCGTGTTTCTCCCATTACCTTCTCCAGATATTCTCCCTTTCTATTTTTTTCTGTCTCTTTCTCCTACCATACAATTTTTTCCACTCTCTAATTTAAAAACATTACAGTCAGTTAAATTAATTCCCGGGTAGGTGCTCGTTCTTCTAGGAAAAAAAATATTTTAAGTACTCGAGTTTCACACAAATTAGAGAAAGAGAAGAGAGGCGCCTCGGTGTCTCTCTCTCTCTCTCTCTTCTCTTCTCGAGATATCTCTTGCTGTCTCTCCTCTGAATTTTAATGTTCCTTCTTTTCATGTCACCTTTTCTTTGATCCTCATATTCTCTTTTATCTCCCACAATTCACTGCTTTTCACTATTTCCCTCCTCTGACTAACTCTCCTTCACTGATTATTTTTCAGCTTGGTTTTAAAAACATGCTGTCAAAATCATCCTGTGGTATTTTGTTTTGGGATTTCAAAGGGCTAGATGTTCCAGGGATTTCCTTGGCGTCTTCTCCCGGTGTGAGTGGATCCCTTGATGGTCTGGAATTTTGTTTGTCAGTGGAGCTTTTGGTCATTTGACCGAGTCCTTTCCCTGGCTTACCAACCAATGCTGCCACAATTATTAAGTGTATTTTAAGATGTGAATTTTCAGAATAGAAAGTCACAGTACTATGGCTTGAACAGTTAACCGAAACTCCGTTCTTAAGAGCTGGGCATCAATGACGACGTATCGGTCAGTTCTGGACCATTGTCAAGTCTCAACAGGGACGATAATAGCAGAGAAGGCCAGAAGGGCTTCCGACCTTCTCTACTTCCATCGCTCTTATTGTGACTTGACAATGATCTAGGGAGGAAACATGATATATGAGCATCTTACCTCCCTTAAAAAATTATGGGAGAATTTTTCATTTCCTCTTTTGTGTATGTGTGTGTGTGTATGTGTGTGTGTGTGTGTGTGTGTGTGTGTGTGTGTGTGTGTGTGTGTGTGTGTGTGTGTGTGTGTGTGTGTGTGTGTGTGTGTGTGAAAATATATTTTAACCTCATGTCAAGCCAGAAATTTATACAAATATCACTAATGATTCCCCTTTAACGCATGAATTTTTCAGCCCTCTAACCCACGAAAATTAAATGAAATAACAGAGTGTTTCGATCATTACAGAGTCTCATACTTCTTAAGACTGTTCGAAACAACGTTTAGTCTCATCTCCAATTTCTGAGTCAACAGTGAACGCCATTATACTAAAGGAGTTCGACTCTCCTGACAGCTCTACAGGAGGATCGAGTAGAGTTGTCGAGACTGGCCAGACGTTGGAACACCAGGAGCCAGCTGGTAGTGTCGGCGACATCCAGTGACGACGGCAAGGCGTTCTCTTGCTTGGCGGTGCACCCGGCGCTGCCCCATGATCCTGACGACCCGACCTCTCTCCTCGCCTCCATCACGCTCTCTGTCTTGC